AAGTAGCGGCTGCCCGAGAGTGAAGTGGCCCTCGTGGGGCCCACCACATCCATGTGCACAAAGGCAAGCGGTTCCTTGGCTGGTCCCGTGCTGCTGCTGAAGGGAAACTTCGTGAATTTTGTCTCAAGGCATGTAGGGCAGCTCCCAACCTCCTTTGCTGCCCCCTTCACCTCCAATCCCTTCAAGCTCCCATCCTTAGCCAACTTCTGCAGCATCGGTATGTTGATGTGGCACAATCTCTCGTGCCACATCTCCCAATCGGCCTCACCACTCCCAGATGAAGCCTTTGCCCATGCAGCTGTTGCATCCACACCAGCAAGCACCTCACCATGTGGTTGCTGTGGCTGCTGCACCATCTTGACTGCATCCAGGACCCCAGCAGTTGGTGCAGTCTCCTCTCCTCCCGCAGTTGCTTTAGCCGCTGCCGCTGCCTTTGCCGTTGCTGGTGGTTTCCCATTCCAAGGGATGATGGGCATCTGCCACAGGTCCTTGATGCAGCTGCTCTTCTCCTCCAAATCCCACAGCAGCAACTTCCCAAGCTTCGCACGGTTGCTCGTTGGGCCGAACGTAACTTTTGCCTTGCTTTTCTGCAGTCGGCGCACAGAAAGAAGGTTAGCGGATAAACCTTCAACCAACAGCACATTCCCAAGCCCCACAAGCTTCCCACTGGCTCCCATCACCTTGGCATTCCCAACACCAATCACAGGGAGCAAAGCACCTGAGGCGGCAGCCACAAACTTGATCTTCCCAGGGGGCTTTACCTTATCAAGCAAACCTGCCCGCGGAGTCATGTGACTCGTGCAACCAGAATCGATCACCCAGTGAGTGAGGGGGTGCATCACAACCTTCCCAACCAAACCCACATCATCCTCACTCTCTTTCACATCCTTAACCATGACGAACATCCCAGGGTCGGCTTTACCTTGTGCAACATCACCTTGTGCACCTGAACCTTGCACAGCGCCACCTCGTGCACGTTCACCACTTGGCGGCTTCATGCCTGGGGGTGCCCAACCCTCAGGCCGGCTGGAACACTTGAACCACGGGTGTCCAGCCTTCTTGCAGTACCAGCACGCACCCTCCATTCGGGTGCTCCCCCTGCCACCAGAGCTTCCATGCCCCTCGTTGTAGTCACCTCGGCCTCTCCCTCTGCCAAAGCCTCTCCCACGGCCTCAACCTCTCCCTCCCCCTCTTCCTCTGCTGCCTCCTGCAGCGCCATACCCTTCAGCAGTTTTGTTGGCAGCACCGCCTCCCGTGTGGCGCCTGCGGAAGTTCTCCTGCAGGATCTGCTTTCGTAGCCATTCAGGCGTCAATTTGTCCTGCTGAACGTTGAGGGTGGGAATGAGGTTGTCCCATGAGTTGTCGAGCACCGAGATGATCTTGGTGCACTGCTGCATCTCCGACACCTTGCTGCCCGCCGCTGCCATACTCGTATAAGTGTCCTTGATCTTGTCAAGGACCGGCTTCACATCGTCTCCCGGTCGCATGGAGAGGGCAGCCAACTCCTTCTCCAACACAATCACCATAGGCAGCGTGTTGGGCTGAACCACGTCGCGTAGCAATTTCCACGCCTTCGGCCCCGAGTCGTCCAGCTCCACCAAATCCTTGATATGCTGGAACATGTCATTGTTCAACTCCCCCATAAAAGCGTCAACTCTCCTATAAGAGCGTCAACTCTCCTATAAGAGCGTCAAATCTCATATAAGAGCGTCAACTCCCCCATAAAAGCGTCAACTCTCCTATAAGAGCGTCAACTCTCTTATAAGAGCATCATCTCTCATATAAGAGCACCAACTCCCCTATAAGAGCGTTAACTGTCAGACTTATATGCTATAGTCTGTGTAGGCTGTAGTGGGGTAGACAATATGGGGTACAACACTTTTAGGTCATCCTACTTGTACCCACCTGTTTCCTAGTGCATTCATTACCTTGTTCTTTCACATGGTATCAGAGCATGTTCCCTAGTGGGAACGTTTCCTAGGGCCCACCGAAAATTCGAAAGTTTTTTTTTTTCCTGCCCGGAGCGCACTTCACCCCTGCCCGAGTCGCGCCCCGCGTCCCCCGCCCTTAGTGGCCCCTTAGCCGCTCCCTCGCGGCCCCTCTCACGGCCCCTCGCGGCCCCTTAGCCGCTCCCTCACGGCCCCACTCACGGCCCCTCGCGGCCCCTCTATCACGGCCCCTCGCGGCCCCTTAGCCGCTCCCTCGCGGCCCCTCTCACGGCCCCTCGCGGCCCCTTAGCCGCCCCTTCCGCGGCCGTTCGCGGCCCCTCGCGGCCCCTCTCACGGCCCCTCGCGGCCCCTTAGCCGCTCCCTCGCAGCCCCCCCTCTCACGGCCCCTCGCGGCCCCTCTCACGGCCCCTCGCGGCCCCTTAGCCGCCCCCTCCGCGGCCGTTCGCGGCCCCTCGCGGCCCCTCTCGCGGCCCCTCTTCGGTCGTTCGCGGCCCCTCGCGGCCCCTCTCGCGGCCCCCCCCTCGCGGACCCTCGTGGCTCGTCGCGCGGCCCCTCCGCGGCCGTTCGCGGCCGTTCGCGGCCACTCTCCCGGCCCCTCGCGGCCCCTCGCGGCCCCTCGTGGCTAGCCGCGGCTCGTCGCGGCCCCTCCGCGGCCCCTCTCCAGGCCCCTCGTGGCCCCGTCGCGGCTCCCTCGCGGCCCCGTTGCGGCTCCCGCGTCGCCCCTGCCCACCGCGGCGCCCTGCCCTAACCTGCGCCCTGCAGCAGCCGCCCCCTGGAGCAACAGCCACTGCAGCAGCCGCCCCTGGAGCAGCCGCCACTGCAGCAGCCGCCCCTGGAGCAGCCGCCACCTGCAGCAGCCGCCCCTGGAGCAGCCGCCACTGCAGCAGCCGCCCCTGGAGCAGCCGCCACTGCAGCAGCCGCCCCTGGAGCAGCCGCCACTGCAGCAGCCGCCCCTGGAGCAGCCGCCACTGCAGCAGCCGCCCCTGGAGCAGCCGCCACTGCAGCAGCCGCCCCTAGAGCAGCCGCCCGTGCAGCAGCCGCCCCTGGAGCAGCCGCCACCTGCAGCAGCCGCCCCTGGAGCAGCCGCCACTGCAGCAGCCGCCCCTGGAGCAGCCGCCACTGCAGCAGCCGCCCCTGGAGCAGCCGCCACTGCAGCAGCCGCCCCTGGAGCAGCCGCCACTGCAGCAGCCGCCCCTGGAGCAGCCGCCACTGCAGCAGCCGCCCCTGGAGCAGCCCCCACTGCAGCAGCCGCCCCTGGAGCAGCCGCCACTGCAGCAGCCGCCCCTGGAGCAGCCGCCCCTGCAGCAGCCGCCCCTGGAGCAGCCGCCACTGCAGCAGCCGCCCCTGGAGCAGCCGCCACTGCAGCAGCCGCCCCTGGAGCAGCCGCCCCTGCAGGAGCCGCCCCTGGAGCAGCCGCCCCTGCAGCAGCCGCGGAGCCCTCGCCCTGCAGTGGTAGCGGCCTCGCCGTTGCCGCCGTCGTACGCCTGCCCTTCTCGCCACTGGTGAGCACTGCCCTGCCCGTACTGCTGTTACTGCTGCTCTTGCTGCTACTGCTCTTTCTACTGCTACTGCTGCTTCTGGCCCGGCCAGATGCAGCTCCAGCGCCGTCCACGTGAGTCCCTCACCCCCCAACAGCTTCGTGAGTGGTACGCTAGTTGGGGTTGTAGGGGTGGCCGCGCTACGACTACTGCTACTGCTTCTACTGCTGCTACTGTGGCTACCACTGCTCCTCCTGCTCCTGGCGGTGGCCAGATGCAGCTCCAGCGACGTCCGCGTGAGTCCCTCACGCCCCAGCAGCTTCGTGAGTGGTACACTACTTGGGGTTGTCGGGGTGGCCGTAGTGGGAGTCGTTCTCGCGTGAGGAGTTCGGGAGCTACTTGTAGTGGCCAGGTGCAGCTGCAGCGTAGTCCGCCCGCGGTCCTTTCGCCCCAGCAGCTTCGTGAGTGGTACGCTCAGCGTGGAGGTTCACGGAGTTCTGCCCGCTGTCCGTACGTCATTCGCACTGGTGCTCGGACTGGTCAGCCCTGCGGGACGCTTGGTCACGCCGAGTCCCGCTGCTTCGCCCGTCTGAGCGACGTCTGGCGTACGGAGTTTGGCAACGCCGCTGAGCTCCCCGACTGGGTGGAGCTGCTTAGGCAGAGGGTAGATATCTATGCTCTTGACTATGATGCTATCCTCACTGCCATGTATGCATTGCCTACTAGTGATGTGGGTGACTGTTACCTGTGTGTTCCGCCTGACCCGGGCATTGAGGCTGCTGCTCTAGGTGCTGGTGAGGCTGCTGCTCTAGGTGCTAGTGCGTCTGCTCCTCCAGGTGCTGGTGAGTCTGCTGCCCCAGGTGCTGGTGAGTCTGCTCTCTCAGGTACCACGTCGTCTCAGGTGTTACGCACCTTCACCCTTGACTCGGGTGCTTCCCGCTCCTTCTTTCGAGACCGCACCACACTCACGCCGCTTAGTCGGCCGGTTGCAGTCTCCCTGGCAGACCCCTCTGGGGGTCCCGTCCTTGCCCACTTCTCCACTGTCTTACCGTGTCCGGCGGCCCCTTCTGGCTCTCTGTCGGGTCTTTACCTCCCCTCGTTCTCTACGAACTTGGTGAGTGGTGCTGACCTACAGGACGCAGGGGTTGACCAGTTCACCCCTGCACGTCAGCGAGTGACCCACTGTACGTGTGCTAGGACGGGCCGACACTTGGCCACGTTTACCCGTCAGCCGGGGTCGAGCCTGTACACGCTGACTGCTGAGTCTCCTCAGGTAGCTGCGTCGAGTCAGGTCTTTGCTGCAGCGTCCAGGTCTGGCCCTGAGTCTGCCCCCTGCTCGTGTCGTCTCCTGTCTCACCAGACTCTCCTCTGGCACCACCGCCTTGGTCACCCCTCCCTGCCTCGTCTCCGAGGCATGGCCTCTCGTTTCCTTGTCTCGGGTCTCCCCCGGTCCCTCCCTTCTCTTCCTCCGGGGCCTGGCCCCACCTGCGTTCCCTGCGTCGAGGGGCGGCAGCGCGCCGCTCCTCACTCCTCCGAGTTTCCTCCGACAGAGGCTCCGCTGCAGACGCTTCACATGGACGTGTGGGGCCCAGCCCGCGTCCGTGGACAGGGTCACGAGCGTTACTTCCTGCCGGTGGTTGACGATTACTCGCGTTTCACCGCAGTCTTCCCTTTGCGCAGCAAGGGTGATGTCACTGAGGTGTTGATCGACTGGATCCGCGCAGCTCGTCTCCAGCTCAGAGAGAGTTTCGGCTCGGACTTTCCTGTCTTGCGTCTGCACTCCGACAGAGGCGGTGAGTTTTCCTCTGACCTTCTGCGAGCCTTCTGTCGTGCACAGGGCATCCGCCAGACGTTCACGCTTCCGGCCTCTCCACAGCAAAATGGGATTGCTGAGCGCCGCATTGGCATGGTTATGGACGTCGCTCGCACGTCCATGATCCATGCGGCTGCTCCCCATTTTATGTGGCCGTTCGCGGTTCAGTACGCGGCGCATCAGATCAACCTTCAGCCCCGGGTCTCCTTGCCGGAGACCTCCCCTACTCTGAGGTGGACGGGGAAGGTTGGCGATGCGTCTGCGTTTCGTGTCTGGGGATCTCGGGCTTTTGTCCGCGACTTGTCTGCGGACAAGCTGTCCCCCCGTGCTGTTCCCTGCGTCTTCCTTGGCTTCCCCCCCGACACGCCTGGTTGGCAGTTTTACCACCCCACCTCGCGCCGTGTTCTGTCGTCCCAGAACGTCACCTTTGACGAGTCGGTCCCCTTCTACCGGCTCTTCCCCTACCGCACTGCCCCGCTCCCCCCTCCGCCGCTCTTCCTCACGCCAGGTGCTGCCTTGGTAGACCCCTTGCCTCCCCAGGTCCCTGCTCCCTCAGGTGTTTACCAGGTAGACCCGGTTGAGCCTGTCGAGGTAGCTGTCGACTCTGGTCCTGCGCGAGGTACTGAGCGTGCTGAGCCTGGGGGTGCGGAGACTGGGGGTGCTGAGCCTGGGGGTGCGGAGACTGGGGGTGCTGAGCCTGGGGGTGCTGTCCCTGGGGGTGCGGGTTCTGGAGGTCCTGAGCCTGGGGGTGCTGTCCCTGGGGGTGCGGGTTCTGGAGGTCTTGAGCCTGGGGGTGCTGCGCCTAGGGGGGCTCTCTCTTCCCAGCAGCTACGTGACTGGTACTCTCGGTACTGTCGCGGCCTCCGGGGTGCTGCTGGAGCTGCCGGCGTTCGTCCTGCTGGAGGTGCTGCTGGTGCTGCTGGAGGTACTGGAGCTGCTGGTGGTGCTGTGGGTACAGGAGCTGCTGGGCCTGGAGGTGCTCCTGGCACTGGAGCTGCTGGCGGTGCTGGAGCTGGCGGTCCTGCTGGTGTTGGCACTGGAGGTGCTGCTGGCGCTGGTGCTTCTGAGGGTGCTGGAGTTGGCGCTGCTGGAGCTGGAGGTGCTGCGGGCGCTGGTGCTGCCGCTGGGGGTCCTAGCGCTGTCCGTGCTGTTTCTGGAGTCGCTGCGCGGCCGCGGCCGTACTTCGTTCCGCTCCTTGAGCAGGTTCTTGGTCTCCCGCTTTCTACTGGTCCTCCTCCTCCCTTAGAGTGTCCACAGCCTGACCAGTTGCAGTCACAGTTACAGCCCGCCTCCCCACTGCCTGCTCCTTCTCCCTACACTGGTCCTACTGGAGGTCTTGCTGAGCGTCGTGCGCCTGCGTCTCGTTCTGCGTCGCCTGTTCGTACTGCTCGCACTAGTCGTCGTGTTCCGCGTCATCGTCCTCCTGCGGTCCCGGGCACGCACCAGATGGCACTGCGTCCTTCCACTGCTCCGCAGCGTGTCCCTTTGCCGTCTCCTCCTGAGTCCTCTCTTCCTGCTCTTGCTGACCCGGAGTCGGACTCTCTTCGTGCTGCCAGTCCTACTGTCACGCGTCTCCTGGCTACTGTTGTCACTGACCCTTCCTTTGAGTCCACTGCTGCGTCTGCCTTAGTTGCTGAGCTTGTCGACTTCGCTGCTCACTGTCGTCTAGACTACGCTGCTAGTCTTGTTGCTGAGTCTGAGTCTGTCTGTCCTCCGTCCGTCGGGGGTGAGTGTGCTCTTAGCACGGACGTCCTTGAGGACAGGCAGGAGGAGTTCCAGTGTTTTGCTGCTGCTTTGCCTCATCTCGTGTCCATGCTGATTGCCCCTGAGGGAGACCCGGATGCACTAGACATCCCGACTCCTCGATCGTACGCTGAGGCGATCGAGGGTCCCTACTCCTCACAGTGGCAGTCAGCCATGGACGCAGAGATGGCTTCCTGGAAGTCCACAGGCACCTACGTCGACGAGGTTCCCCCACCTGGGGCGAACATCGTCAGTGGCATGTGGATTTTCAGGGTGAAGCGGCCGCCGGGTTCTCCGCCTGTCTTCAAGGCGCGTTACGTGGCTCGAGGCTTCAGTCAGCGGCAGGGAGTTGACTACTTTCAGACCTTCTCTCCCACCCCGAAGATGACCACTCTTCGGGTGCTGCTGCACGAAGCCGCTCAGCGCGACTACGAGCTTCACTCTCTTGACTTCAGCACAGCTTTCTTGCAGGGCAGCCTGCACGAGGAGATCTGGCTGCGCCGCCCACCTGGCTTCACTGGGTCGTTCCCCCCTGGTACCCAGTGGAGCCTCCGGCGGCCAGTCTACGGTCTCCGCCAGGCGCCCCGTGAGTGGCACGACACACTGAGGACTACACTTGCGGCTCTTGGGTTTGCTCCTTCTACTGCCGACCCGTCGCTGTTTCTACGCACCGACACCTCTTTGCCGCCGTTCTACATCCTCGTGTACGTCGACGACTTGGTCTTTGCCACTGCTGACACTGCTGGACTCGCCCACGTGAAGTCCGAGCTGCAGAAGAGACATACGTGCACAGACTTGGGTGAACTGCGCAGCTACCTTGGCTTGCAGATCACCCGGGACAGAGCACAGCGCACCATTACCCTGACTCAGTCACACATGGTGCAGCAGGTCCTTCAGCGCTTCGACTTCACGTACTCCTCGCCTCAGGCCACTCCTCTGTCTACCCGCCACTCGCTCTCAGCTCTGCCTTCGGATGAGTCCGTAGAGCCGAGTGGCCCGTACCCAGAGCTTGTTGGCTGCCTCATGTACCTGATGACCTGCACTCGACCTGACCTTGCATACCCTCTTAGCATCTTGGCACGCTATGTTGCTCCTGGGAGACACCAACCAGAGCACATGGCTGCAGCAAAGAGGGTGTTGCGCTACTTGTGCAGTACGTCGGGCATGGGGCTAGTGCTTGGAGGGCGGCGTTCAGTGGTCCTCACAGGTCACGCAGACGCTTCTTGGGCTGACGACCAGGCTACGCAGCGGTCGTCACAGGGTTACACCTTCAGCCTTGGCTCTGGCTCTGTTTCGTGGCGGTCTACCCGCTCGTCTTCTGTTCTCGGCTCCAGCTGTGAGGCTGAGATCTACGCGGGGGCCATGGCTGCACAGGAGCTACGCTGGCTCACCTACCTGCTGACTGACCTAGGAGAGCTGCCTCGTTCTCCTCCAGTTCTGTACGTAGACAACAAGGCCATGTTGGCCTTGTGTCGGGAGCACAGACTGGAGCACAGAACGAAGCACATTGCTCTTCGCTACTTCCTTGCTCGTGAGCAGCAGCGTGGTCAGCTACGCCTTGCTTACGTGGCCTCTCAGGCCAACACTGCTGATATCTTTACCAAGGCACTTCAGCCTTGTGATCATCAGCGCTTTTGTACGATGCTAGGTCTTGTGCCTACCTGGCCTCACTTGCTTACTTCTTGACCTTGCTTGTACTGTGTTCTACATATACCTGCACTTGCTTGTTTACCTTTATATATATGATCCTGCATGTGAACTGGCCTTGTGACCTTGAACCTGTGCTCGGAATGTGTGGTGACGTTGTGATCCACCCTGAGCTTGCTTTGCTTTGCTTGACTGGTCTTGTGACCCCTTGTTCTCCCCCACTTTGCCTATGGGGGTGTGTCAGACTTATATGCTATAGTCTGTGTAGGCTGTAGTGGGGTAGACAATATGGGGTACAACACTTTTAGGTCATCCTACTTGTACCCACCTGTTCCCTAGTGCATTCATTACCTTGTTCTTTCACATTAACTCCCCTATAATGTTGGTGCAACCCTACGGTTTGCACTCGGCTTGTTGTCCGTGTGTGTGCATGCGAGTGTGCATGGAATGGAATGAGTGCATGAAATAAATATATATTTCATGCTTATAATGGTGTGTGAATGATGGGTCATAATGTCGTGTGTGTGTGTGTCGAGTCAATAGCGAGTTATCGCTAGTCGCCTGTAACGCGACCATTTTATGTGTCCCGCGCGGTTTTTATTTTGTCGTGCGCGGTTTCTATTTTGTCGTTTGTCGAACGTTCGGTGTGTCGCAGGTGTGTGCAGCAGACCCATCAAGTACTCAAGGATGAGTTGTGGGGAAGAACCGGAGCCTTGGTTCAAGCTTCAAGTGATTTCGAAGCTCGCCAAAAGGGTACACCTCAAGATATTTAAGATAGTTACATTGCAATGTGTAGTGTAACATTTCAGTTGGTGTAGACCCTAGTGAAGGGTAGTTTCGAGACCCTTCGTGGTTGGGGACAGTGTGGCACTGTTCCACATCACTGTACCTCGGCTCTTGGGGTTTGTAGGAGCTGGGAGTCATTCCCAACTCGTAACTCTTGCTAACTCTTCCTATCTTGAGTTCTAAGACTATAGTGCCTGCCATAGTAACGTTCGTTCAAACCGACGCTGTGTCGTCAATTCTTGATGCCATCGTGCGATCAAAATTGCCTAGTGTAGGCAACGTTACGGCGCTCCAGATCCAAGTTGAATGAAGTCATTTAGAGTTGTGAGCAGATCGCTATGAACGTTTAAAACCGCTGTGCAGAGATCCGACTGTGCACTCTATCTTTCGTTTTACGCACATTGAAGCCTACTGTGACTATAACAAGTGGTATCAGAGCCCCTTGGAGCAGCTACGAAAATGGCTGGACCTGAGGAAAGGGGTGGCAGAGGTGCTGGTGGCAATGGAGATGCCCAAGCACAAGGCCAAGCCCGTGAGTCAGCCGTGGCGCCCGTGCAACCGACTCTTGGACCTTCGAGGGACGAACCAAGAGTGTTCGGGCTTGACAAGTTCAACGGTGACAACTTTGCTGAATGGTCCTTCAGAGTGGAGAATGTGTTTGATCACTATGACCTGCTGGAGGTGATGGAAGGAACGGAGAAGCGTCCCGAGAACGACCCGGAGAAGAGCCCGTGGGTGCGGAAGAGCGCACAAGGCTACCTCCTACTTGGGCAAGCGTTGGGGAGCAACCAGATCCGTCACATCAAGCCATTCCAGCGTGATCCAGAGAAGGGACCAAAGGCATGGGCTGCTCTCAAGGGTGTACACGCTCCTGCAACAGCGGCGGTAGCTGTGGTGTTGGAACGGCAAATGGCGACGCTACGAATTGAGGAAGATGAACCCGTGGAAGACGGGGTGCAGAAATTCTTCGACTTGTTGACGCGGCTTGAGGGAGCTGATTTGAACTACAGTGAGCTCCAGAAGAAGACCAAGTTGCTGGCCCTACTCCCCGAGTCGTGGTCCTCGCTCATCATCAACTTGAACCGTGACCTGCCCCGTCTCTCGCTTGAAGACGTGAAGCGCGCAATCCTACAAGAGGACTTCCGCCGCAGTGAGTTGGCGAGTGCGGATGGCGCTGGGGCAGCGAGCATCGGTCGTGGATATGGTCGAGGAAGAGGCAAAGGACGAGGGGGAGGAAGGTTTGGTGGCAGCAGCTTCGGTGGAGGCCGCGGGAATGGCGGATACGGCAGCGACGACAAGAGCTACGGTCGCGGTCGCGGACGATTTGACGGCGAATGTCACTATTGCGGCAAGAACGGACATATGTGGCGCGATTGCTTCAAACTCCCTGATGGTTGGACCCCTGCTCAAGGCCAAGAGGGTAGAGGAGCAGGAGGAGGGAGAGGAAGAGGCCGTGGAGGCCGTGGCCGCGAACATGAAGAGTGGAGATAATGACAAGGACCCGAGCGACGATCGGTACCCGGGCCTATTCTACTTCGTGTCGACACAAGTACCGGCTGGTCCAGAGAAGGACGAAGGCTTTGAGGAGCCAGCAGCAGTAGGGAAGGTGACCCTACACCCCCTGGACTATTGGGTGATTGACAGTGGCGCTACCTATAGCATGACACCTCGCCCCGACTTGCTCACCGAACTCGAGCCGTCACCGATGAAGCATGTTACATCGGCTTTGGGGCAACGAGCAGAGGTGAAAGGCATGGGGAAGGCCATGTTCAAGGGTGCTGATGGGAAGATGGTGGGCCTCAAGAACGTGCTTTGGGTGCCCAGCCTTGCTGCAAACCTGATTTCCGTGCGGCGGTTGGCAAAGGCCGGCATGGACACGAACTCGAAGGGAGCCAAGACCTACACCGCAAGGCTTGGCGATCGGATTCTTTGGGACCTTCATGAGGACAGGAATGTCTACAACGAGATGTGGCAGATCCCTGTGGTCCCTATGCCTAAGGAGAGGCAAGTGGCAGCAAGCATCAGCACCAAGGGTGAAGCGGTTGGTAGCGGCGATGGCGCGAACGGCCGCGCTAAGGAGAAGGAGTCCAAGAAGTGCAATCTTGGAGGGACCAGCAAGCTCGGTGAACCTAAGGAGCGAGGTGTAGCAGCCAAAGAGCAGCACAAGGGTGAGGAGAACCCCAAGGCAGCAGCGGAGGAGGACTACGGAGAGAGCATGTGGGGCGCTATTGCGAGCGCGGCATTCTCCAATCCAACTTTGGCTACGGGGGAGTGTGATTGTCTCACTCTGCATCGGCGCATGGGGCATGTGGCCCTGCCCATCTTGCAGCAGCTAGTGAAGAACCAGAGGGTTGCTGGCATACGTGTGAAGGGGGAGCCCGATGAGGTGCTTGGCTGCCCGACGTGCATGCAAGCCAAGTTCACCCGGTTTCCGTTCCCTAGTTCGGAGGCAACGGCTAAGGCACCACTTGATGAGGTGGTGATGGACGTGGTGGGCCCCCTGAAGCTAGAAGCTGCTGGAGCTGAGTATTTTCTCACTATTGTGGACGTCTACACCCGTATGACTTGGGTGTACGTGCTGGCCAAGAAGAGCGACGTGGCTGAAACGTTGAAGACGGATTGGTTCCCGATGGTGGAGCGGCAACAAGACCGTCTAGTGAAGTCGATCCGCACCGATCGAGGGGGAGAGTTCCTGAGCAAGGATTTTGGGTTGTGGCTGAAGAAGAATGGTATTTGGCACTCCCTCACCAGGCCATACTCCCCTGCAATGAACGGCATCGCCGAGCGAGCGAACCGCACAATCACGGAGGCGGCACGCGGGTTGCTCATTGAAGCCGGGCTACCCAACTATTTCTGGCCTGATGCGGTGCGGAGCGCGTGTGTAGCCAAGAACAGAGTTTTTACTCATGTGGGAGCAGACAAATGGGTGCCCTATGTGGAGTGGCTTGGAAGAAAGCCAAAGGTGGATATGCTTCAGGTGTTCGGGTGCATGTGCATGGCGCTCGTGCCTAAGCATCTTCGGCACAACAAGCTTGGTGCCAAGGCGGTGTGGGCCGTGCACTTGGGCATGGCTCAAAACAGCAAGGGGTGGATTCTTTGGGACCCATTCACCAAGAAGTTCATGGTGAGCAGGGACTGCAAGTTCATGGAGAACTTCATGTACAAGGATTGGAAGGCGGAGAATGAGGCGAAGATAGGCATGCGGTTTGGAGAGGTGAAGAGTTTCGGCTTGGAGCATGTGGAGCTGCCTTTGGAGCTGAGCAGCGGCAGCACCACCACAAGGCAATCTTCCCTTGTGAATGGGGGAGAGGAGGCCAATGATGCAGAGGAAGAAGAGGAGGAGGTGCAGCATGTGAGCGAGCGTGCACCGTCACTCCCTTCCCGCACTACGAGTGCTCCACGGATTCGAGCCACACCGCAGCAACGCCAAGGCCTTCAAGTCCCTGCAGCTGAGGAGGAAGGAAGGGGGAAGAGGAGAGTTCAACCCCCTAATAGGCTGACCTATGATGCGCCGGGAAAGCAGGGCAAGACAGCTCTGGCCGGAGCGGCAATGATGGTCGGAGACGACGAGGAGAGTGACTACAAGGAGTGTGCCTTCGCGTTCTTTTCTCCGGTGGAGATGCCAGGAGAACCAGCAACTCTCAAGGAGGCTTTGGAGAGTAGTGATGCTGAGGAGTGGAAGAAGGCCATGGAGATTGAGCTGAAGAGCATCGAGGAGAACGACACGTTTGAATTGGTGGAGCTACCGGAGGGGCGTAAGGCGATTACGTCCAAGTGGCTCTTCAAGATCAAGTCCGACGCCGACGGCAAGATCGAGCGTTACAAGTCTAGGCTGGTGGCCAAGGGGTACCAGCAGAAGGAGAAGGTGGACTTCAAGGAGCTGTTTGCTCCTGTGGTGAAGCCGACGACGCTGCGGACCCTATTCGCGGGAGCCGCGATCAAAGGTTGGGTGGTGAAGCAGCTAGACATCGTAACGGCGTTCCTCAATGGAATCCTTGAGGAGGAGATTTTTATGGCGCAGCCAGAGGGGTTTGACGATGGCAGCGGCAGAGTGTGGAAGCTGAAGAAGGCCCTCTATGGGCTGAAGCAGGCCCCTAGGCAGTGGTACATGAAGCTGCGCGAAGTGTTGGAGGGGATCGGCTTTACTCCGTCAACGGCCGATCACTCCTTGTTCATGCTTGGCGAGGGGGAGCAGAGGAGCTTTATTGTGGTGTACGTGGACGACATCCTGATCTTCTCACCCTCCTCTGACC